AGTCGCACCGGTAGTGACGTCATGGCTGTCGCCGGCCAACGAGTTGGTGTTTTTTCAATGTATGCTTCAGACACGGGTCACGACGAGGCGTTCCCCATAGCGACCCCTAGAGGACGCAGTTCGAAGTTCCAATGAAAGGGAACCATTATTTTATATTGTAATAATATTTCACAATATTATTGCTTTTTTCTGTATTTTTGATCAAATAGGCTAAATCCAGGCTTGATGAGCATATGAGACTTCTTTCAAAAACAAAATTGTAGTTTCCATATGTTTGTACTGTATAAGTAAAACATACAAAATTAAAGTTAAATGTTGTATAAATAAAAAGGTTAGGAATCATATTTCAAGTTCTTTTTATTGGGGGTGGGGGGGCATTCAACATGAATTTTGCCTAGGGCCTCCTAATGTCTAGAACCGGCCCTGCATTAGTGAAAGAGTTCAATACAGATGAGTTTTGTCCTGAAGTCAGAAAGAATGAAGAGACTTACAGATAATGATGTTAAATGAGTTCATGAAGTCTTCAGATAGTCTGTTGAAGTTGATTGAGATTCAGTTGCTCCTCATATGAGGTTGTAGTTGGAGGTCTTCAGCTCTTCTTCAGCAGGAGCTTCATTCTGCTTTCTATGATGAGTCAGAGGTGTTTGTCTGAGGACATGACAGAGCCAGAGCCTCCAGAAAACACTGAGATCAGAGAACTAATGACAGGACAAAACCAAAACACAACAAACATTATGAAATATGACATCAAATATTGCATGAACTATCGAGTTTTAACACATTTTCAATTTTTTTTTATTTTTTATTGATGAGTCACTTTGTTTTTTCTTCACAGATTTACCCAGATCCACACTGACTGTAACTCCAGACAGTCCTGTATTCACTGGAGAGACAGTCAATCTGAAGTGTGTGATTGAGTCTTACAGTAACTGGAGATATGAGTGGTATAAAGGCACAGACAGTGTAATGTTACAGGCGTCTGAGCGTTACACTGTAAACAGAGACACTCTCTCTATCAGAGGAGCTACTGAGTCTGATCAGGATCAGTACTGGTGTAGAGGACAGAGAGATGGAAGACCAAAATCATCACAATCAAGTTCTGCTGTTTCTCTCACTGTGAAGGGTGAGTTGAATATCATTGTCCTCTTAAACTCAGTCTAAATGTACGGTTACAGATCCGATCGAGAGATTCTCAGATGTTACATT